TTTTTTTTTTTTTCTTGCTCTTTCTTGCTCATCTTTTTTGTTAATTCAATTACATAAAAGTATTGCTATGTTACACGATGAATACTCGTTGTTGCGTAATAGTTCTTATTATGCAAATAGATGAATATCAATTCATATTTCGTTCGGTATTCAGAAAGTTAAAGTCAATCATCAATTGGCAATCGAGATAATTACTTTTTTTGCTTGGAATGACGTAAAAGGAAATTATCATTTTATGAAAATGACGATGCTGAACGTAGATTATGAAGATATTAAAATATCGAAAAGAAAAGTAATGCAACTATCATTATCGATTTCAATATTTTTTTCTATTATAATCTTTATTCGTAGAATAAAATTAAGCTGTGCACGAAGTTTCATAACGCACAAATAAATATGAAAATATAATACTTGTACGTGACTTTTCTTATCTCTTGCAGTGAACATTTCGTTTCTTAAACTTCTTCTCTCTAGTGAAATCGCGTATCTGCGCTGCTTATCAATGAAACATATCCGTGATACATTAACAGCGTTAAGTAGTATACAGAAATCTATAACCGGCCAAATTTATTTTTATTCCATTTCACAATGCATTTATACTAGGTCAACTCGTAGGAAGAGCGTCATTTCCGTAAAATAAAGTGTCAAGTTTCCAACAGTTTTCACTTCGAAGACATATAAATTATTCTGTAAATCAACACTAATTGGACATCTAGCTCTGAACTTTCTAAACTGTTCACCTATATAATCTCGGCCAAGCTAGCTAAAACTTGTCACTCTGTCATTAAATGAATCACGATTATATGTTGTATATGTACAAGGCAGAGTTCATTTCGATTCTTATAGCATTAGTTTGGATGAAATTTGCAAAAAAAAAAAAAAAAAAAAACGAATAGACTGCTAATTTTTATGCAAATTCGTATTTTCATAAAGTTACATTTTCATAAAGTTACATTTAGAAAATAGAATCTAAATAGAAAATTTATTTCATCTGTTGTGATAAATATATGTGTAATATTATTGTGATAAGTAAACTTCCTACATTTTGCATCATGTGCAATTTCGACAATTTTCCATTGATATTTATCAATGATACATTTACATTGAAATTAAAGAAATGGAGTCTAAGCAAAAATTCATTTCATCTAGTATACACACATACACATATACATACGCTGGAATAAATTATTAATTATGCAAGACATGTTTGATAAGATGACTCTATGATAAAAACAATTCCGAACTTCCGTACATTAACTTTTCTTCGAAATAAACGAGCAGCGAGACACTTCGCCCATGGGAAGGGGAGATTTTTCAAAATCGGATTGAAAAAATTTCCAAAATGACCAAAAGGCGAGCGAAGATTTAACATACACTCTGCAGCAAAATGAAATGAACGCAATGACGAGCGAAAACGAAATTTTTCTGTCATTTGCTTTCATCGATAGTGAACACAGAACCGACACTTGGCTTCTATTTTATTCTTTTTTAAAAATTTAATTTCCTTTTAAAATGTATTTCATAGAACTTACAAAGTAAATGAACACTTTCAGCTTCCCTGATATATGCGTGTTTTTTTACAACACTTTCTTCTGTGATATTTTTATTTTACAGTCTTTCAATGTTTTTCAATTATATCGTATTGAGATTATGCTTCATTTCTTTTATAAACACATTCCACAGTCACGCTCGTTTTATTCCAAGATCGTTGTTAAAAATGGCCAGAAACGAACATTTTACGAACGAAGGAAGAAGGATTGTTATAAAGTGGAAAGACGAAGACAAACCTTATAGGGAAATAGCAAAACGGTCAGCAGTGTAAAGAAAATAATTTAATTATACAGGATATTGAAAAAACGTACGAATTTTTATTATACCTAAATTTTTAACTAATTTTTTAGGAAATCAATCATTAGTGAGTTACTCTCATTTGCGTGTACTAAACCGATCTTAAAATCTACAAGACAAAGGTATTACAGCATTTCTTGGTAAAAGGGAATCGTAATTTTAATTAGAAAAGATAACGCGCAAGTTTATTTAAAATTACTGTGAGAAATCATAATACCGAAAACGATTTTACACTACGACAAGACAATACCCCCTACTTCGTGAGGCAAAAATTATTGGAAATTATTTAAGATAAAACTTTATTAGCTTAACTTGGAATGGTCCCCCGCAAAGCCTTGTTGAGAACATGTGGTCTGAATTAAAAATAGCTAAAAGTAGACCAAAAAAATGTTAGCGATTTTAAACGATTAATCGAGAAAAAAAATGGCAATTGTTTATCATCGATGGATTGCAGGAAGTTAACATTTTTTTGTGCTAGACTGATTAGCAAGAATTAAACAATGACGGCCATTGTGGTTATTACATAATTAAATAAAGCAAGTTTTCACTTACTTTTGTAATTTAACTTTATGTAATAATAATTATTTATTTATTTTTTTATGCCAGTTCATTGTTAATTAATCAAAATTCTATTTGAACACTACATTTACACAACGAGCGTATATTATTTTACATAGAACTGGATCTTCATAAAACTTTTTTTTTTCCTTTTTTTTTTGTTAAATAATGAATGTATGAATTGACGAGTATATATTTATTTTATCAGCGACATTGAGCTTCTTCGCAGGCGCGAAGTGCCAGCGAACGATATAGCAAACGAGAAATTATAAAAAGCTGTCTGAAGGCTTATATTCAACGAGTATGTCATAGAATTTCACTCGCAGATTAATCAGTTAACAGAAACTCGCGCACAATCAATTATCGCATAGTTATCTGAATATAGTTGATCGAAAGTAAGAAATATATAAATAAATAAATTCAATTCTGTTGAGAACAAAGTGTATGTGCCGACTGTACAGTATACATTCAATAACAATAGCTATTGTATAATTCGTTTAATTATTTTGTAAACAGAAGGTGAGTGACAAAAAGTTAATTTTTTTTTTTTTTTTTTACCTTAGAACAACTTAGAAGGCTATTCTATAAATGTAGAATATGT